ACCACCACTGCAGTGTTACAATAAAAATTTATTTCATCACGATTAGCCTAACCTATCCTTCTTATAATGAAAATAATTACTAAATAAACAATCAGTGAGCCACATATTTATTAGATGAAAACCACCACTGCAGTGTTACAATAAAAATTTATTTCATCACGATTAGCCTAACCTATCCTTCTTATAATGAAAATAATTACTTTTTAAAAACCAATACAAAGTTGGATTTGATAATTCAAAACTATAAATTAATTAGGTATAAAATATAAATAATAAGCATGATATAATAATATAAATACAAACACTATATATTATATTATATATATTTAAGAAAATATTAATAAAATTAAAACATTCATATGTAAAAACTAAAAAAAAAAAAATAATAAATTATGGTATTAAACCTTTATTTCAAAAATATATTTTATACGTTGTTGGGTATATAATATTATAAATTATAATATATCATATAATATTATACTGTTATAATATTAAACACGCCAGTACGTATAATATAATATTACAACATTAATTATTAATATCCTTAAAATGGACGTCACCCCAGCACCCGGAATTTAAGTTCGAAATTCTGAACTTTCTTGTAAGTTACAAAAAAAGTTATCATGGTTACATTTCGTTACAAAATGATTACATAATTTTGTGAAATTTTGGAGTAAAAATTTTAAACTTCGGGTGCTGGAGAGACGGAGCTTCCGTCTCCCAGTCCTCATTGAAATAATTAAAAATGGTGCTCTCAAAGTATAAAAAAAATTAAAGAAGAGCTCTCTGCTCTTCCTTCAATTCAATCACCACTTTGCTATAACCATAGGACTTTGCATTTATTAATTTCACAGAACTCGAAAATCATAACTCTGGCACAATATACATATATTGCAGTCTATCCGAGCTAAATATGTTTGTCGAAATTACAAATTACACAGATCGATGAAAAAATAAGTCAAGTAGTATAAAATCTCTAAAGAACGACCATAATTTATTAATAGACAGGTATAATTATTATCTATAATAATTGGTGAGCACTCTTATTTTTCTTTAATCGCCTGTCAATAATTTTACTAAAATATATTCTATAATGTCGAATATGGGAGAGGCTTATAAAAATTAAGCTGGTGATTATTATAATAATGACGTCTAACGAATCTGTTATAATAAGCCACTTACCTAATATATATATATATATATATATGCTCAACATATTTATTATTTAACGCTCTGATCCTACAGTATTTTTACTTTGCAATTATTCCGGTCGTTAAAACATGATTAAAATAGATTCTTAAGACGTAGAAAAATCATTATAGGGTCTCTTGGTTGCCGCGGCTGAAATTATATGTATAATCGCTTTACCGCATTTAAACCTCACTAAACTCATCGCAAGGCTGCAATAGCAGTTGTAATATTATATACAATATTGGTATTGGCAATTCGTTTTGAAAAAAGTCCAAACGGCTTGGGTGGTATAGGCATTAAAAAAAAATGTTGGTAATTCTAAAATTTGAGTGGACATATTTAATCACGAAACTGTTGCCTTTAACTATAATAGCGATGCATAATATAATTACGTTACCGTATCAATCTCATTTTTTTTTTAACACAATATCTTTGTAATCATAATATGGTTTTAAACGCATATAATATATATTATATTTTAACATTGCTACGATTAGTACGATTGAATGTTTTTCGTGATGGAGCTGAGATGATCGAATACCATAAGAAAAATAATACCACAATATAATATTATAATTTATAATAATGTTTATAATTAAATATGTTAATAACTGAAATAATATTTAAAATTGTACTTAACATTTTTAGATCATTAAAAAACAGTGTTACAATATGTGTAAACAACCTGACCTAAACTTTTTTCTGACTCATTGGTAAGGCGTATAAATATCATATATGATAAGTACTCACGATTTTCTCGATGCCCGTTGAACTCTAAGTACGACCTCTTCTGAAATTAAATTTCTAACATCGTAGCGTATGTGTCATAGCAACTCATATTATTAAAATCATGCCGGACAAATCTGCAGTGCAAGTAAAATAACTCTGATCGCATCAGTGGTCCTGTCAATATGGTTCTTGCATCACGTCCGTCCTATAATTTATGAGATGGAAACTAATCACGTGTGCTCTGGTCAAGTCGATATTGTTTTCTGTCAAAGCATTTAAGGTAACGACTTGAATTCATTTAAGACTTTGCTCTCTTAAATTATAATGCTTGACCATACAATAATATATATTTATTACATTTTAATTGAGTGAAAAATAGGTACATAAATAAAAAATTTATAACTCATTTACAGATTACAATATGCAATAAGTGATTTTAGTTTGCTTCATTAAAATAAATAATTTAATCTGACTTTCCAAAGTAGATCGCTCTGTCTAAGTTGTATGGAATTAGTAATTATTAGGGCTAGGATTTGTATGCAACAGCATGTTTTTTTGCGTCTTCTGATTATTGATTTTGTCAGTAAAGTCCACAAATCACCTCATGATGAGATAAATGGTGGTTGTTTTGTTTTGCATGTTTTTTGCATATTTTGGATAAAATGCATATTAATGCATATATTGAATAAAATSAATATTATTGCATATTTCGATTATAAGAATGCGAAAAATGCATGTTTTATAGCATATTTTGTATTTAATTCTAGCTCTGCTGACTAAAGTATAAAATTTGGTTTTTTTGTCAAACATAAATTTTATTTTTATAAATACAATCCTATGGTACAATAGGTATGCGATTAAAGATTGAATAGTTTGACGGAGAAAGATAAACACAATTAATAAAAGTACGTATGTCGGTCAATATAAAATCTAAGATAGAAATTAAAACGCATATTTTACAATTTTTTATTGCATACAAATCCTAGCCCTGGTAATTATTAATCATATATATTACTAGAAACGTAATGAAAATTCCTATTTTTAATATTTCAAATCCTTTAGTTATGTTTTGTTTTAAAATAACCACACTTTAGAATAATAGCTCGAAACTTATGTTCCTGTTTCTAGTGTACCTATCATAGTATTATAGGTATGATATAATGTGCGAAATGGCTTTATTCAAACAGATAATCGTAATGATTGTCATTTTAATTGAGTAAAGAAAAAATAGTATTTATATAATATGAATTATAGTGAATTTTTATGGTATTTTAAATTTATAACCAATTTTCAAAGTTTAAAATTATATAAAATATTATAATACAATAGTAGATTATATAAGATACTTGAGTTATTAAACGAATATTTTTAATATTACATAAGATATATATTATTAAATATTATGGGATATTAAAAAAATTCTATTCAAAAATTATTAAATCCCGTTGTCTTTATAATATTGTAATATTACATCAAACGAATAATAAATTAATTGTCCATTATAGTTTTGAGCAGTACATAATGTTTATTATTATATATTTGTTAAATCTATTGTTTATTAGATACCAATAAAACCCAAGCTGAAAGTCATACTCAATAAATTATTTGATGAATAGAACATTTAATACCCTTAGATAAATATTTATAGTTTTCGGTTTGCTTGATTGCATCGTTTATTAATAAATTCAAATAAATCTTAATACTACGTTTCAATAAATAAACCGATACTTACCTATATTATAACTGTCATTCATAATAAAATAATAATCGTTTTATTTTGATTTGATAATTTTAACCAAACAATAATTAAATTCTATAATTTTATATTGATAAAATGTATTTATGATATACTCGTATAACGTCGATTTATATAACACAGAAAAATAATCATATTATACGGTAACTAATAACTGTACGACACGTTGACCACTAATATAAATTATTAACATTTATTTTAACCAATATAGCCAGTACTTACATGAATATGAACCGTTTTAAAATGTAATGACTACTTGAAATTATTATAATAATAGGCGTATTACAAATTTATATTTGGTCAAACTATTTACAGTGTCCGTTTGTGAAATGAAACATTAGTCAGTTGTCTCAGGTAAGGTGTAAAATTATTTTAATGTGTAATACAAATACAATGTTTAAATTAAAATAGAATCTGAGATTTACACACACGCATATTATAATATATTATACATCTATAATATACACAACATAAACGATTGTCCCGACCAAGTTTAATAAATCCACGAGTTGAGAAAAACGGACTAAATCTTTTAATTTAGTTTTTTTGTTTTTGTTTTTATAGAATACCCAATAGTTAACATTTATAAAATTACTGTTTTCATCAGTACTAGGTATAGTGTCCTATTCCATCGAGAGTTCAAACATCTTCTCTCCGTTTCCGTTGCAATTATAACGATTCGCACGCTCAATCCAACCAGTAACAGTCGTGTTTTTGTAACACATCATTGCTTTTCAGATTAATTCGTCTTCGTTAAACTGAACACGATCTTGACATTGGAAAAATATTATTAAAATAACACATAAGTTCATAGCCGACCAGCTAATGAAAATTAGCCATGACGATTTGATTCCATGGTATCGGAGCCTACCCGTACACAATATGGTAGGATGGCGTGGGCAGACACAAATTCGACGATTGACGGCTGAGACCTGACAAAAGTACGTTCCGTTACAGCGTTTTAGTTATATTATTATGCTTTATTGCGACTTATTGCAGAATAACAAATAGGATTCAAAAACTATTAGAACCTAAACCAATAATTTTAGATGAAAATCGTTATAAAATATCTACAACTCGATGTTGTTTATATTTCCACGTGATCATTGTTTACAGTATAATAGGATAAGTGCTATATATTATTATTACTAATTAATATGTTAGTCGATTACTTTTTATTGTGATACCTTAAAACTTAAATGCCTGTTTAATTTTATATTTCATTTTAATATATTATCATATAATATGTAAAAAAAAAAAAACAGACACTAAAGAGACGTATACTAAAAAAATATATTTATGTGGAACCATTAAGTATCGATTTTGACCTTCACCCGAAATTTATATTTTCAAAAACCGGAACCGTAACCAGAACCTCTTAATGAAATAATCTAGTACCGGAACCAGAACGGGGGAAAAAACAAAAGGTACCAGTCCGACAGTCTCTGATCTTTCTAGAAGTATGGGTAAATATTATATGGAACGGCAATAAAAAAACCATTAAAAGTGCGATTTTTCGCTCCGATCGTTCTCGGAGTCCTAGCACTCGACGCCGCCCTGTCGCTATTTCCTCCATGCGTGTGTGGGCTCTCCAACCACCCCATGGAAGCTGTTCTCGTCGTGAATTCCCGAGGCGGACAAAAACTCGTGATAACATTGGAGCCATTGGATCATTTCGTACGTGCTCCTGCACACGAACGGCCACCGATCGCATCGACGGTGAGGTGGTCGCCTGTGGACGACGAAAATTGGCGGGAACAGTGGAAACGGTAAGTGCGGTTCACCGTGGTGGTAATAGTGGTGCCACCACACGTGATGGTGGTAACCGGGGCCGCTACCGTAGTCGAAATCGTCATCATCGTCGTCATCGTCATGACCGATGTTATGGTAGTCGTGATCACCGCCATAACCGTGGTCGTGGTCGCCACCGCTGCCACCACCGTCGTCGTAGTCGTACACAACGTGGTCATCGTCGTCGTCCACGCCATCGTAGTCGGGCACGTCGTCGCCATTGACCACCACGAACCTCGGACTCCTCATTAAGTTGCCACTGAAATTTCCGACTGTTTGCTGCTGCTTAGTGGGCATCGGACCAAAGGCGATCATGGTTTTGTCGTTTCCGCAAACAATCCTGACGACAATTGACAAGCAAATAAGGCTCGCCATAATTGTCACCACCGCATTGCTGTCCGTCTAAAATTGTTGAAAAAAAAATTAACGACAATAACTTATTATAAATTCCAAATTTGGTTGTATGTTTATTCCACCCTACAAAATGAGTATAAACTATAGACTGAATTCATAAAAAGTGAGCTTATAATCAACTGTCATGAAGTTTTACAACCTTTTATAACTTCTAATTACTAAATGCATTATTAAACGCGTCCCAACATTATCTTACTTACTGGATTTGATATTTGATTATTGTTGTTGGATGAAAATAATATTTTTTTTTTTTTAATATTTATAATACAAAAATTATAATATCAAGTAAACACAGCAACAACAATTAAAGCAAGATTAAAGTGCAATAGTGTAGTACCTTTTTATAGTAATTATCTACGTTGATAATTAATAATTGGATTAGATGCCTGCAGCATTTTGCAATGATAATATTTTTAGACAACGAATTGCTGTCTGGGGAAAAATATTATATGACAATATCATTATTACAAAATCAAGTGCGACTCACCATTATACGTCTTCGTCGGTACAACAGCAGTTAATTATTGTCATTCGTTCGCGGAAAATTCTACTAACGATTTTTAGACGGCGAACAACGTTTTATATAAAATATTATTATGTCGTATTACCATCACCGTTTTTAATTGATTTTCCGTCGAAGTCGCAAGGTCAATCGTCGTAAGATCTTACTCGACTTCAGCCGACAACTATGCATTTTTATTGCGATCGTATCCGTAATATTTACACTATTTCGACGATTATTTTTCAATGAACTTCCTCAAGATCTCCGGTCACGAAACACTGATGTTTGCTGACATCGATTACCCACATTAATATTATTTCGAGCCTAAACCCGATAAGAGTAGGTTCCGACTTCCGCATCGTACTCCAAACATTCGGAGTGCTGAACGAATTGTTTTAATAAATAAATAAATGGGCATGTCAAAAGCCTTCGCAAAATACTGTCGAAATCGCGTTTAATTTTCCTAAATGGCTTGACTGTCTTTGGTTGTACTTGGGAAACTATTAGATATGTACCTACCATCCAGAAATATTGGAATAGCATATATTGTTGTAGCATAGCGACAATACAAAAATAACGAAAAATGTATCATAATATATGATGTCACTATAATTTCTCATAAATTATTCTTCTAACTAGTAAAACAAGTTTAATGAAATCTCATAAAAATGTTATACCTTATGCGCATTTTAAAATAAAAAGTTGACGGAATTCAACGTTTGAAATAAATTTTTATTTAACGATACGTAGACATACATATGCACAATTTTTTTTTTATAGTCTTCAATAAGTTCAAACATTTGATAAAGTTTGTCAGAAACAAGGAAAAAACTATTTCCATATCATCATCTATAATATTGACAGTTAAACATATTAGGTAATATATCGACACACAATATTCGTAGTCAACAAAATGGGAAAATTCTATTAACTATAAAAATTGGTTTATTTTTTAGCGAGCCGGGAGTCTATAGGTATATGACCGAAATATTACACGCCTTCGTCTACATCGTAAACCATAGCTATTCGATATTAGTTAATATTAGAATCGAAGTCTATGACTGTGGCTAAATCAACAGACATATCAGCTAAAGTTTAATTTTTTCCACCATCACACAATGTCCCCAGACATGGCCGGAAACGATATTATAAAATGAGTAATGTTAACTATTATTAACGCGTATTTATTCCAAGCCTGCAGGGGAGCGTTTTATGCGCAATATTATATCTGGCTGACAAGTCAGTTTATTAAGTCATGCTTATAACAACATTATTATTTCGTCGAGTACATCAATGCATTTTCATTCTAATTCAAATCTCCCTCGTCGTTTATTATAATAGTAGGTGGTTAATATTATATTTTGCTCCATCACACAGCAATTTATTCAAATCGTTTTTTAATCGCATATGCATACTCTTTGATACCGTTTTTTGTGTAGAATTATTTTATTTTCCAAGATATTGTCTCGACGCACTATTAGATACGCACACAATTTATCATTGAAAACATGAAGATTTAGAGTACATTATATTATTAAGATGGTTTTACCTCTACTAGCGAAATCGCTGGTGTGAAAATGTTTTATGAATATTTTAACATAATTTACGTCGGCGCGATGACTTCAGTTTATTGTTGTTAGCTATACAGTGAGTTTCATCTTAACAATTTTAACTGAAAAAAAACAAACACAACAACAACAACAATTGGAATGAAATTTAAAATTAACAAAACGTAAATGATATGAATACATACTCGCGTGTTATTATTGCAGTCAGCAGTCGTTATAATATATTACAAAATATTATAGAGGAGAGAATAAAACGCCTTTGTACAAAGTATGTTATCTTAGTCAGAAAGTTTCAAAATGTCGCGTAATTTTGTTCACAAAACACACGGCTTATATTATGTTTTTAATTCTTTAGATATTTATTGCTTAACACTATTTTATACACGAACAATAATTGTATATTATGCACTCCTTCAACAATCGATGTGTTTAAAATATGGAAGAGGGCACAGTAATATTGACTAAACAATTTCAAATTCCAAAGCTGTACATTCCACAGTTTCAGAGTTTGAAAATGATAACTTATAATAATATGCCACAAAAATATATAATATATTATACCAAACTCACCTTCAGAAGCACATTTTATATATTAAATACTGGGATATTTTTCGAAAAATAATCGCGTTAAATGTATATGACACAACATAAGAGTCTGTTCTTTTATAAGACGACGGTATAGTACCTACATAACATTTGAATGTTACTACCAAATATAATTACAATAATTACGTTATTTTTCTATAATATTGTATTATAATCGATTAAGCTTAAATCGTGTGTAATTAATTTTACCGTTGAGCGCAATTTATAAATAATATTATATAATCTAATCTAAGCTTCGACAGTGGAAATAATTTAACAACTATGTTGGGTATTTAAAAATCCAAATCCAGTTCGTCCGTTTAGGTGATGAAATACAAACAAAAGTCACAACGATAAAGGATGAGCTATTTAAAAATTGATTTTTAATTTCAATGGTTTGAACTTGATTTAAAACGGATGGTGCGGATCAAAATATGAAAGACTTTTTCTGAACCGCAAATGTGTTCAGAGATAGCTATGTACAAAGTGCTAAATACTCGCTCGTATAATGCACATATTATACGACACACTACCGCTCACATATTGCGACGACGCATATTATATTGCAAGCAAATATTAATTATTAATGTGAACTAAATAATGTGATATATCACAATATAACCAGCTAGAACCCTACGTCTATGTACACGTTATCAGCATGTATAATCGTCCAATCAACTTCAAAATACCATTCGAACAATATTGTAAATTGAATTTTGATATCTAAAATTAATTTTAGTATTTAAGTATTATTATTATTTATTTAAGCATTTTCTATAGTTCCCACGGCATCGTCATTCGTCAAACGAAATAAGCAAATTGAAACGATTAATATTCTTATACAACATTTTTAATATTTAATATTTTTCCAGCCCCCATCAGAATGTCGTATGTTATTTGTATATTAAATATATTAGAATAATATGTATAAATATTAACTCATTAATTCTAATAAATAAATCGATTTTCAATTATTTAGTGACGTTTTATAAATTCGTTACTACAAACTGTGGGAAGAGAAAACTTCGTGTACATACATCAAGTTTTCTGCGACTAAACTCTGAAAATATTTTAATCGAAATTACTAAAATTAGTATATTTTATACACTAGCACGATGCACACTAAGCTTTAGGTGAACAAAAACAAAACGATATAATAATATGCTCTGATGATGTTAAAATATTATATTTTATGAGGTACATAAAATAATATTATTATACATATGGATTTGTACTTTGCAAAGTCTTGTTATTGACGAAGGTAATAAATTCCGCGAATTTCCGGCAAGAGTAAAATTCGTTCGTTAGTTAAAACTCAGAATTTACCGCAGAGTTTGATATTATTTTTGGTATTTTATATTATATCATTTTAATTTGCAAATGTCATTTTATATTCTAAGCGTTAAATTTAGTTTTTCTGACATAATATTTTTTTCTGATCGAAATGTACATTTTTGTATAGAAAAAAAATATATATATATCGCGTAGTATCATATATTGGCCCTAATGCAAAATTATCAATTTTAGCACAGTATACTGTATAAAAACAAACAAACATTTCAATTTCAGCCCGAAATGGCGGCGACTAGACAATTATTATTATTATTATGGCCAATCCAATTTAATCCTCTGCTGCAATGGATTTGTTCTCCCTGCGCAGACTTAATGCCAGTTTCTGTATTTTTCGTTGTTTTTTACACAAACGTCGCGTTTTTACAACTATATCGTCATCTTCGCGGTGTGTCGTCTACCATCTAGTTATCGTGTGGCGTTAACCAACCAGCAATAGTCTTCAACTCCCGCTACACACACACACATACACACGCATATATATTATATATATAAATATTACAAGAAACGATCTCCAACTAACGTATAGTGTGTGTGTGTGTGTGTGTGTGTGTGTGTGTGTGTGTGTGTGTGTGTGTGTGTGTGTGTGTGTGTGTACAACAGGGTGAGCATGAACGTTTTCGGGGTTTGCCCCGTCGACCTCGCGTGTGGTTCGTTATCGACGGGAAAATGCCTCGGCCCATCCAGTGCAAATTATAGTATATTCGTGTGTTTCGAACTCTACGCGCATTTCCATATCTTTTTAGATTGCCTCTAGCCATTTTTTTCGTCTTTTGGTTTTTTTTTTACGATTTACTCTCATCCCCGCCTTCTGTCCCGTCGTTTCCAAAAGTCTCAATACCACTGCTATTTTTTTTCTCCATCTTTTTATCTCTTTTCGTAACAAAGCTATCGTAACCTCGAGAATATTATTATTTTTCGTAAAATAGAATGCCGTGTGCATAAACTATACGCCTAATATCCACTTGTATTTATCATTATACCTATAGTTTAATAGTATCGTCTTGCCACTTTCTCGTTTATTTTTATTATTATTCAATATTTTTCGCAACAAACATTTTTTGATATGCATATACTATTATAAAGTTATACAATCAAAATCAAA